CCAGCTGTCTCTTCCCATCTTGAGAAGGGAGGGGTCCTCTATCACCACAACCACCCCACAGTTTAAAAAAATAAAAATGAATTCATGTCATCTTCTAAATCCACTTCCTACCCAAAAACACAGCGGTTTAGTTTGTCCCGTGTCTGTAGTTGGGGGGAATACGCCGTTATTCTGTGAGCCATAAGAGGGACAGCTAGGAGATTAGAGGGGGCTGTGGGGAGTCGGCCCAGGCTTTCCTCTTTACTATAAGCAGATTGTCTCCTCCTTCTTATAAGGCCTCATCTGTTCTGCTAGTACTAATGACTAATCAGTGTTGAACTGTGGCATCCCCAAGTGCATTGTGGGCAATCTGACCGATTAATCTCCCCAATGTCTTAGCGGGCTCTATTTTTACATACATTAAGTCTTTTTTTCCCCCTATTGTCTGTGTGTCTGCCATTCGCCAGCCCAACATCCCACAGAGGAGTGTAAGAAAAATGTGTTCAGCTCTGGGCTAATCCACTCTACCAAAGGATGTACACACTTGGCCCTTTTGTGTAAATTTCACCTTTTTTAAAAAAAAGTATACTTCTCAACAATAACCAGCAAATGAAATCTGTGCGGTATAAATGGAACCTACGCCAAGGATGATGTGCACAGCTTTTGCTGAGTGGGGTCTATATACTAACCTAGTGAAGATGTCCGGCACCGAATGAGGGCACCATGTCAACCTCTGCGAATTCCACTTTTCAAAGGAGCAGTGCTCTATGGGAATATCAGATTCGCGTCTCCGAGTTGAGCTAATGTCCGATTAAGTGTTTTTCAAAGCAAAAGGGCCCCTTGGTGATGTCTTTAAAAGCTGAACACTGTGATGTAATCAAGCCGCATTGTGAATGGTCCAGAGTGCCGGTACAGACTGCTTTTGACAGAGCCCTGCTGCCGGTGACACAGCTAGCCTGCACTTACTGCTGCTGTCTGTGTCATTTCTGTACATGTCCTGCTGCTGAAGTGAAAAGGCTTTATGGCTTTAGCTTTTGGAGAGCTGCGTGTGTGGGCCGTGTGTCCCAGGGTCACACGCTATATGCCCATATATGGTGTATATGGGTCTTTTTTTTCCGTAATAAGAAAATTGTTAGGGTGTCTAAAAGTGTGAGTGCCCTGAAGGAGCCCTTCAGCTCTGTACTTAAGCATCCATTATGTCCTTGTCGATATACGAAGACAGGAGAATAAGGCAGATAGCCTAGAATTAACTAACATGTGTAAGAGAACTGGCAGGAGATTGACATCTGCACGAGTCCCTGTGTAGCTATAACAGAGATGTAATTATGAGGCTCACAGACACGCAGGCAGCCGGACCTGGTCGTACTGGTCTCTGTAGTTCCCGGAAGGGTATTGATAAGCGGCTTGCGGTCACCGTGTGCTGATGGTGTTGATTAACGGCACCAGTCATTGATGCTCCACTTTTTGGGGGGCGTGGCCTCATGGAATGTGACTTCTATCACCTCTGAAGGGAATGTGACAAGCAGGATGTATTCTGATCCCAAAAAAGGAGCAGCTGCATAATAACAGGGATACCATCAGCTGAGCGCAGAGAGTCCTCCGGGCCTGCAGGGGGAGTATGCCCCCGGCTAACTCGCTGTCCCCGCCACGCCCCCGCAGCCCGAGGAGCTGACGCTGCTTCTGATCAAGCTGCGGAGGCAGCAGGCGGAGCTGAGCAGCCTCCGGGAGCACACACTGGCCCAGCTCATGCAGCTCGGCCTTGACGGCGCCGCGCCCAAGGTCAGCCACTGGCCTCCGGGGGCCCTCTGTGCTCCAGAGCCTGTTTGGATGCTGCTGTTGCCCTGATGATGCTGGTGGTGATGATAATTACGATGATGATGAGCTTGCTGATTGGGTGGCTTCCGTCTTGCCTTTTGTTTGTATTCTTGTTTGCTTGTTTGTTTATTTTTTGTAATGACGGCAGATCCCACGCTTTTTTCTTCATGGTCAATTAATTGCTGTTAACCCTTGAATCATGAGTCACTGAGACATGGAGCATGAGGCCATGACGAGGCAGTGCCACCAGCTTACAGGATGGGATAACCAGGCTATTTGTCGATTGTGGAATTGTGTTGGGGGGCTTGCTTTACCAGGGAAGCCATGGTGATCGCAACCACCTTCCAATTGCCTCTAGACGTCACTGGCTGTGCCGGCCATCACCGGCACTCTCAGGTGTTCAGGGGTTAACGGTGATTCCTGTCACAGTGATGTCCTGCTGCATGTGCCGTTCCCCCCCCTTTCTGTTGCAGCACGGTCCGCTTCCGGTGTGTTGCTTCTGTCGCTTTACTTTCACTTTCATTTGGCCAGTTCTCTCCTTGGTTCTTTGCTGCACTGCCCCGTATCCACAGATTCTGTCTGCACTTGCTGTGACCCCAGAGCATTAGTCGTTGCTGATTGGTCTGATCTGCTGTGACTCTGGGGCATAAGCCGCCACTGGTTGGGCAGGTCTGCAGTGACCATGGGGCATTAGCCACCACTGGTTGGGCAGATCTGCTGTGACCATGGGGCATTAGCCACCACTGGTTGGGCAGATCTGCTGTGACCATGGGGCATTAGCCGCCACTGGTTGGGCAGATCTGCTGTAACCCCTGGGCATTAGCCACCACTGGTTGGGCAGATATGCTGTGACCATGGGGCATTAGCCACCACTGGTTGGGCAGATCTGCTGTGACCATGGGGCATTAGCCGCCACTGGTTGGGCAGGTCTGCTGTAACCCCTGGGCATTTGCCGCCACTGGTTGGGCAGGTCTGCTGTAACCCCTGGGCATTTGCCGCCACTGGTTGGGCAGGTCTGCTGTGACCATGGGGCATTAGCCACCACTGGTTGGGCAGGTCTGCAGTGACCATGGGGCATTAGCCACCACTGGTTGGGCAGGTCTGCAGTGACCATGGGGCATTAGCCACCACTGGTTGGGCAGGTCTGCAGTGACCATGGGGCATTAGCCGCTGCTGGTTAAGCAGATCTGCTGTGACCCCTGGGCCAGAATGATAAGCACACCACCTGAACTGATTCTCTGCTTCTTTTCTTGCTCCTGCTCTGTTTTCTTGCCTCTCCTTGCTCCCCTTTTCCTGGCTCCTCTCCACCGTGCCTCTCCTCACTGCTCCTGCTGCTAGAATGAGATTCTCTCCCGTCACCTTCAAAGGAGCCTCATGTATCTGGACAGCCAGGTGGGGGACGTTCTTCTCTGTTGGCTTCTGAGCCCTGATTGGCTGCTCTGAGTGTCCAGTGTGATGGTGTCTCTGTGGAAGATACGTTTTGAGGTTGATTTTTAAACCCCCCTCCCACCCTGCCAGCTGAGTGTCTGTTTTACCCCGTCTGGACCAGAGAAAATTGTGGTGAAAATTTGATGTGCTCACTGTCATTTCTGCCATCTCTCAGAATTTGTTTGCATTCCCACGTTTTTTCTGACCAAAGGTGATATGATCACATTGTAAAATACGGTCTCCACCCTCCATCTGCAGACCTACCTCCATTCCTGCTTGTTCTGTCAGACGGTGTTGAGTTATGCTGGGGCTTCGGCTAAAAAGATCGATGCGAGTGTTTTGCCCGTGCCCCCGGAGATCCTGGCGTAACAGGACAGCGTGCCTCCACTACATCAAAAACTCTTTTAATCCCCAGGAGGATTATCTGATGTTGGGCGAGAGCCACGTCTTGGTGTTTCTGTGAGGGGCTGAATAGCAAACACGGCTCATAAAAAAAACTGTATGTGAGAATATAACATGTGGCACGTCCCTTAGGGCAGGGGTTCTCAAACTTTTTGATCAAAGGTCCACATCAGATTTTTGTTCAAAATCAGAGGTCCGGAACGGTTCTCAAGAACAAAACGGCATTTCATGAACTCAGCATTAATATCTAACAATAAGGGGAACTTTATAACCCCCACTGATTATTTCGACTATGACGATTATGATGGGGGGGGGGGGGGTTGGTGGTTCTGCACTGTATTTGTGTGCTAAAGAACCAGTTATATACGTTAACCATATGGATTCATAACATGCATTATCAGCTGGGTCCAGATCAACTTGCGGTTCAGTCCACAGTCTGGACTTCGAGAACCCCTACTTTAGAGGAACAGGCAGTTTTTATTACGCCGTTATTATACAAGCGGGCGTCTGTGCTGCTCTGCTGAAATTAGGCCTTATGTCAGACGCCTGGCATTCACGACGACCGTTTCAGGGTTTAAAAAGCACATCTGGAGGAATGCAGCTTCACCCTGCTTTCTGTTGGCCTATGTCCTTCTGTCGCACAAGGTCACTGGATAAACAAGTCGGTACCTTTTCCTTCCTTTCTTCTGCGATTGCAAAATGTATGTTGGGCTTGTGGGCCGTGCCAGGTACTTCACCGCTGTTGTTTTTAGATTCTGTAATCAGTTTTTGCACTCGCAGGTCGTTTAATAACATTTGCTAAATTATCTCAGTTCCATCAAAGTGATTTGGCCACTGGAGGTGTTTTGGGGTTGTTTGTGTCCCCTGACCAACCTGCCACAGAAAGGTCCTCCGGGTTTGAGGTGAAGAGCCTGACCTTTGACCTTTTGTACTTGCCTTAGAGTGACTGCCATCACTCCAGTGCAGGTTGGCCTCTCAACATGTCTGCTTCAGGCTTAATGCTTAGATGTTCGCTTAGATGTTCGCCAGCCTTGCCTTCTCAACCTAGAATAATGGTTCTTGTTTTTTTTTTTCTTTTCATCTTTTAACTGATATGACTGACAATTGCTCCTCCCGATTTGAACTAGATGAAAGAGAACGAACCATTAATCATCATGATTCACACTATGATCGAGAACTCTGCACCACGACCTCAACTATACCAACAAGTAAGGGCCTGGCAAGTGACTCCTTACCCCCCCCCCCGCTTCCCCATCCTTGTCATGAAACTCAGAACCCCCCTCCCTGTTATATCAGTGGTTCAGTCCACCAGCCGTTACCATGGCATTCTACCTCCTGTATGGTGTTTGTCGGAGCACATCCCATTCCACGGCTTCTTGGCGGAGGAGGTTGTGTCCACGTGGGCATGGCTTGCTCTGTGTGCTGCACGCTCCAGCTCCACTTCGCCGATTGGGGTCGCCATCGTGTGGCCACTGGGGGGCGCTGTAGTTTATAAAGGCCGCATCATGCTCGCATGAGTGAGGATCAGCGTCGCAGCTCTGATGGTCACGCCTCAAAAGAGATCAACTGTCAGCAGGCATAAGTAAATTGCGTTAAATAGGAATTATGGGATTGTGTCTGGTTTCCTATCCAGATTACGTGTTATTGGCACGAGCCTGTAGGGGAAAAGTGGGATGGATGGATGGATGGAGTGGTGAAATGATACATGGCTGGCAAGCAAGCCTGTACCTTTAGAGACCCCCTGAAGTGGGTGTTAGATGGACAGCCACTCGTGCCTGCAGCCTGGCATCCAGCCGCGGCTGTGATGTCACATCCGGCCTGTAATGGGGGCAGACCCCCCCCCGGCTTGCACCCGTAAATGTATGAAAGCGTCATTTGCCCAGAGCGCTGTGGCAGGTTTCATTAATCAGGCTGCCGAGGCCATTACCGGGTGGGCTGTAATTATGTGGGTATCCCCCCTCCCCCAGAGCTGTGAAATTATCGTCAAACATAAATAATGAAAAGGAAACGAGTGGGATAAATGAGCAGTGTTAAGAAGGCTGCGCCCCCCCATTCCGAAGCAGGTCCTCGCTGTCCTGTCTGGCAGCTGGCCGTCCAGCCCCCCTGATGAGAGACTAATGACCGGGCGGCTCGCTGTACTTCATAACAAACCCCAGAAGTAGGGCCCTGTTTGGCCAATAATGTTTACCCCGCCCTTTAAATGCCGCTGATACACTATCCAAAACCATCGCCGAAGCACAGAGCAGCTCTGTCTGCCTTAGCCTCTGAGATGATGAAAAGTCTGTGGTAATGATTTCACTAAAAGGCCTGAAAGAAGGATGAGACGCCAATGGAAAGAGCGATGGCACGATTCCAGCGATTGTGGCCATGGACTCGCAAAAAGGGGCCTTAACAGGACAGGAAGCTTCATCTGTCCTTTGCTGTCAGGGCCCATTCACACCAAGGGAGAGGTGAGATCACAGCCAGTAGATTTCCACCAATTGGAGGTGGGTATTTCTGTGAAATGGCAGCTCATTGGCCCTGGCCGCACTCTTTCTCCGCCCCCCTCTGTGAGTGATGGCCAATGAGGGGGCCACAAACTTTGCTTCTTTTCTGCCTGTGGTTTAAATAGGGTTGCTGCTCACTTCTGTGACATGTGACACAGCACCAGCTGTGCCTCCATTTGCACCAAACCCACCCCCCCACCAGACTACATCTGCATGCTCAGCAGAACGCCACGACATGCCCCTTCAGCATGTTGACGCGCTTTGTGCTGTGCAAATGTATTATGCTGTTAATAATGTCTGCGGGCATCTGTGTGTGTGTGTGTGTGTGTGTGTGTGTTTACACACATTTCTGACCATTCAGGGTTCATATATTTATGTGGTCATCGCAGAGTTTTGTCCGGAATGTTTTTGATGAAGACACCAGTTTCCTGAGTAAATGAGATGGGGGGGGTGGAATCGGGGGTCTTTTTGGCACTGAAAGGCACAGCAGAGCTACAGGGGGACGGATGTCCTCTGATACCAGCTTACTGTGTGCCCTCAGGACTGCTGCAGGTTCGCTGGGAGGAAGACATCTTTTAGATATGTAATCAAACTTTTGCCCTTTTAGCCTGAATTGTTAAATGATTTAGAAATACTCCCACTACCAAAAACATTTGGTTTATGAATCTTCCAGCTCTAGGGTCTAAGGACTCTAAGTGGACAAATGCGCCGTTAACCACTGTGGACACAGAGTGCTGACTAATTAATGTGCCCTAATTGCCATCTTCCAGTAATGGAGATTTTCACTCCGTTTTTATGTGCTTTAGTTTTACACTCCAGCTAATTGGTGTAATGATGGTGATCGTCAAAAGGAGGGGGTGGGGCCATCTCAGGGGGGAGAGTCAGGTGACCCGGGTTACGCGTGTTGATTGGCTCTGTCTATCTCTCATTTGTAGCTAAAGGTATAAATTGGCGTTTTAGTCTTCTTGCCCCCTGTAAATCGAATCAGACTCTTATGACTGTCTCCCCTCCCGTTACATGTTATATTGGTCCCGGTCGTAGGCGCAGCTTTGATATCTTGAGCCCCGTCTGCCCCTAAAGCTGTTTGCCATACGCCATTACGGTGCCCCCCACCCCTCGGGCCTGCGGCTCCCTCATTAGTGCTGTGTGGGTGAGCCTTGGCCTGAGTGGGCCCAGGACGACAGCCGTTGTTTACCGCAGGAAAGGTCTCTAATCAATAACGTGCTGCAGTCATTCGGGGCTCCTGGCTCCCGTGGCCCCTAAACGCTGACTACAGCACCATCAAGCTCGCGTGGCGGTTCAGGCCAGATTATCCAGAAAAATGCCATCTGACCCAAAACTGGGGGAAATTGGGACCCAATTTAAGTGAAAAATGTATAAATTCATACATGGGGATTAAGTATGGCTTGTGAAAGACCCCTGTTTTCCCTTAGTGGGTGTGAAAATCTCTAACTGGGTTTATGTTTCCGCAGATGAACCCGGAGGCCTACAGAGAAAACGCTTTTATTTACAGATCCGAGGAACCCGACGTCGATGTAAGTTGTTCAAAGCCAGAATCAGTATTTCATAGTGTGATCTGGATTGTTCAGTATCTGTTCCTGAATTTAAAGGAAGAAAGTAGTACAGATGTCTTGTGTATTATGGGGTGTATGGAGACCTTATAGGAAAAAGCCTGCAGTGATGGTCAGTGGCAGCCGGATGGGATTCCTGCTGTCTGTAATGCCGCTGGGGAAGGCGGTTTGTGAAAACAGACAGAATGTCATGGCCGCAGAGAATCTGGCTTTGGAAAGTAACCGATTATCTGGTTTGCGACTCTTTCCCCGCAGAGCGCGTTGACATGCTAAGGACAAGCCAGAGCAGCCCATTACTGAAGTGGCCGGCTGTGGCGCGGTCGGCTCCTTAATGATGGAGCAGCGCTGTTGACATTTAAAGTTAATTGGGAAAGTAATAGGAGATGAGAAAACACTTCCAGCTTCGCTCCCCTTTCGCAGTTTTAATAAGCTGTTCCAAGCAATTAAACCCCTTCAAAGAAGAAAAGAAAATGGATCTTTTAAAAGTCGCACTGCTTTCATGTACTAATTTTTTAGGAGGCCCAGCTCATCCCAGCTCTCCTCCTCTGTCAAAGCCAGTGAATGCGGCTCTTATCTCCCAGTTCGGCTTGATTCTTGATGCTCAGCTTGCGAATCCCATGCGTTGGGAGCTGATGTCACCATGCTGCTCAGAGCCATGGGACGCATGCGGGACAGGCAGCCTAAGCCTCTGTGATCAGAAGGTCGCTGGTTCGAGCCCCGGCCTCGGCAGAGTAGCCACATGTCTGTGGGCCTTGGAGAAAGACCTTTACCCCCAACGCCATGGGCACCGCCGGTGGCTGCCCTTCGCTGCCAAGCTCAATCTCACCTACATGTGTGTCATGGAGAGCAGAATGGGGCAGGCCAGAAGAGAATTTCCCCATGAGGATCAATAAAGTGTTGTTGTTGATATTATTATTATTATTATTATTTATTATTTATCATCATCAAGTTGCTCTCCTGAAGATGGTCGTCTTGGCCTGTGTCACTACAATAATATACTGGCTTGCGGTCTGGGATCTGATCTGGGATCTGATCTGGGATCTGATCTGGGATCTGATCTGGGATCTGATCTGGTATGCTGCTGTCATCTGCACATGATTATAATCATAGAATAAATTAAGTAAAAAACCAAGAAGGTGTCTCCTGACTTCCTGGTGGTGTGTGACTGTTTGTCTATGTCTATTTTCATCAGTGAATTATGATCCATAAAACCTGCTGTACCCCCCCCCCCCCCGACCTCTGACCTGTCTGCTTCCAGGCAAAGTTGAGCAGACTGTGTGAGCAGGACAAGGTGCTGAGGACCCAGGAGGAGAAGCTGCGGCAGCTTCACAGGGAGAAGGTGCGCGTCTGTCCCTGCTGTTAGCAGCAGTCGCTGCCATGCGCTTATTTGTATGCGGACCTGCTCCTTCTGGATCAGGTCTACATGACATCAGGTCTACATGACATCAGGTCTACATGACATCAGGTCTACGTATAAATTCTCCATTCTCGGTGCCTGTGTGTGCACATGTGTGTGTGTGTGTGTGTGTGTGTGGATTATGTTTATATTACATTGTGGGGACCAAATGGCCCTCACAATGTGATTAAAAAAAACCTGTTTTTTTACATTGTGGGGACTATTTTCCAGGTCCCCACAAAGATCTGTGAATGCAATCAAAAAAGTAAAAATGCCAAAAGTCTTATATTTTGTTTGGTTACTTATGGTTAAGGTTAGGGCTGGTATAAGTGATTTTCCTATAGAAATGAATGGAGAGTCCCCACAAAGATATGAGTACAAACATGTGTGAGTGTGTGTCAGTCTTGATCTATAATGCCAGCTGATATTTAGACTTTAGTCAATATTAAATGTTAACAGCTCAAGAGCTAAAGACATAACTACTAAAATAATGGTGATGATTGCATTGGGCGATCAGTCATTTTCTGTGCAGAGGAAATGAGGGTTTTAGTCGACTCCTTCCCCACTTAGACACTCGCTACAGACCCCCAAGTCGGCTCTACTTCGCTGATGTTTCACTACCTCTAAAGATCCCATGAATGTGTGAAGCAACATATACTCACCTAAAGGATTATTAGGAACACCATACTAATACGGTGTTTGACCCCCTTTCGCCTTCAGA